TTTTTTTTGTGATGCCAACTAAACATGCCTTAAGGAGATGTTTGGTTTCCTTTTCTGGAAATGAAAATGTCCTCTTATAGAATTTTGTAAGAGAATTTTAATATTTATATGCCTTAAATTTATAATAAATAAAGGATGCAAATAATATTTTTAGCCTTTATTTTTCATAAACATAATTCCTAATTCATAAACTTTTCTTCCCATCATTTTTTAAGAGAAATAGTTTCCCATAACTTTTTATATATAAGACTTACTTAATAATTATCTTTATTATTTCTCCCTATCAATTTCTTTTTAAATATAACAAAATTAACAACTCAACAAAATTTATATAAAATTTTTTTACAAAACTTAATAACTGTTTATATAATACTTTAATTAATCACTTTCTCAAATTTTTTATGAAAAAATTGACCTTTAATCAAACACACTGTAAACGGGCAAAAGTCTTGTATCAACTCAAATTGTCCCTTAGTCTTGACCTTATAGATACAAAAAAATGCTCTCATTTATCTTGCTAACCAACGAAGAATTCAAGTCTATCATTCAGAGAAGTGGTGGTCTCCTCTTTGCTTTGCTTGGAGAAAGCAATCTTCCGGACTCAAAACTTCAACCTGACATAAATAAAATAAAATAAAATATAAAATCACAATTGGTGGTTCCATTTGATTAATTTGTTTAATGTGAGAAAACTTTTAAACGCATTTTCCCCAGTATGTGCTGCTCCCTTACTGATCCCTCATATCCACGAGGCTGATAATATGGGGACAGAACATAACCCATTTATCACATCCGGCAAAAACCACTACAAGGCTATAATGCCACAATGACGTTTCTGAGATCATGTGAAATTAGTTGGTCCAAAATTTCAGGTCATTTATCTTAGCTTGAGAGCACTAATTAAAGATTAAATGCATTATCTAATCTTTTGAAAAGTAGTTTGATTTATTATTAGGCCACTTATAAGTGCATGCACTCACTTCCCCGATAAGTACCCAAGTCACCGGCAACAAAGACAAAGAAGAGATCTTCTAGCAAGCTAGTGCAACATAATTGAAGTTCCTGATCTCCCTCAGGAGGTAGCCAATTAAAGAGAGAGAGCAAGATGTCAAAGGAAGTTGCGTCCAGTGTTGGACTAGAATGGAGGATAAATGTGTCTGATGGGACATCACAGGTGTTAAAGCCGACCGAATGCAGGCCGGCGTTGAGCAAGATATGGTTATGGTTGAAAGGTCTCCTGGGAGGACTGATTGTGGTAGTCCGGAGGTTTTTGGAGACAGCATGGAGTATTGCAGTGGCGGAGCCTAGAAAGGTTGTCCATGGTCTGAAACTTGGACTGGCCATTTCCCTGGTTTCACTGCTTTACTACATCGGGCCTTTGTTCAAAGGCTTCGGAGGCAATGCTAGCTTGTGGGCAGTCATGACCGTTGTGGTCATTTATGAGTCCAACGTAGGAGCCACGTTATGTAAATGCATTAATAGAACCGCCGCAACTTTTCTTGCTGGCGGGCTCGGCCTCGGGATTCACTGGGTCGCAGATCATGCAGGGGAAAAGGCTGAGCCTGTAATTCTTGGAATCTCAGTTTTTCTCTTTGGTAAGTACTAATCCCAGATTATGGTAAAACTTAAGGCAACTTTTTTAGTATCGTTGTTGTTGCTAGTTTTATGTTTTACTAACTTTATTAAACTTCTGTGATTAAATTAATTAAGACTTCAAATTTCTGCAATAGCTGAGTACTAATAACTTTTTCTCCACATAGCATCGGCTGCAACTTTCTCTCGGTTCATGCCAATGGTGAAGGCTCGGTTTGACTATGGTGCAATGATTTTCGTACTTACCTTCAGCTTAATATCAGTTTCTGGCTACCGGGAGGAGATGTTGTTGAAGTTTGCTGGGTCGAGGTTATCCTCCATTGCAACAGGAGTTTCTATCTGCATCCTCATAATCGTGCTTATCTGTCCCATATGGGCAGGAAGTGAACTCCACCGTCTGATTCACCAGAACATGGAAAAACTTGCCGATTCCTTGGATGGTATGATTACAAAACACACATAAATCTACCATTTATATAAATGAGATTAAGCAGAGCAGTTGCGGAATTGCATTAAGAATTGGAAATTAATTGATCAATTTTCAGCATGTGTAGCTGAGTACTTCAAAGAGGATGGAAAGACAACGGATTCCAAGGAGGATCAGGATTACAACAAGAAAATGCAAGGTTATAAATGTGTGCTGAATTCTAAGGCAGCAGAAGAATCCCTGGTAAGGTGTATTTCCCCCTTTTTTTTTTCCTTCTTTTGTTTTTTTTTTTGGGTTGGCTTTGTTGATAATTTAATTATATCAAATTAATTAACATTAATTGTTTTTCTTGAACACTTACAGGCCAATTCTGCAAGATGGGAACCTTCACATGGCATGTTCAATTTTGGGCATCCATGGAAACAGTACCTCAAGATCGGTGCTTCAATGCGAAACTGTGCTTGCTGCATTGAGACTCTAACCAGTTGTTTAAGCTCTGAAATTCAGGTGATTCATCATGAGTTAATCAATTATATAGAAACCTGTTTTTCCCATAGATTGGCTGTTTGAATTCTTTGGCAATTGGTACAGGCACCTACATGCATAAGAAACCACGTCCGTGATGTGTCCATCAGATTATGCTCTCATAGCACCAGTGTGTTAAAGGAATTGGCAACAACAATCAAAACAATGACAAAGTCATCAACAATAGATATCTTAGTTGCGGAGATGAATTTTGCAGTACAAGAACTGCAAAATGCCTTAAATTCCCTTCCCAGCCAGTTTATTCCACCTGAATTAATGACTGTGGAAGGGTCTGCTGATGCTAAAGGAGAGTGTGCCACAGAGTCTGGCATGCCACCACTCCTGGAGGTTCTTCCGCTGGTAACAGCAGTGTCTTTACTGATAGAAATTGCAGTAAGAATAGGAGGTGTTGTGGATGCTGTGGAAGACCTGGCAAGCCTTGCAGAATTCAAGCCTGCAAGGGATCATAAAAGGCCCCAACAAGACAAAACTAAGCCATAGACAAACCCTTTTCAGATACCATTTGAATATGCGGTATATAATCTCATGTGTGCCCCCATATATATAGTTTTTGAACAGGTACAGTGGTTTTCTAGGTTGGGGGGAGTTGGTTTACGGGCGGCTGTTGGGTTCGGTTTGAACCCACACAGCTTTGATGTTCACAAAATGCAGCAGGTGACAACCTGCTAAATGTTAGGACCATATCCCCGTATACTGTATATTGTATAAAGCTTTCAGAAAGTAAATATTGTCATGAAGATGTTGCCAGGCCAGAATATTTTGACTATGCCTAGACAAAGTCAAAGCAGAAAGTACGGAAAGTTACCAACCCCATGGGAAAAGGAAATGGGGTTGGTTTGTTAGAATGTCTATTGCATTACAGCATGAAAAGCACCAATTTGGTTTATGCATCCCACAATATGCGAATCATTGTTGCTTATGTTGCATCAGCAACAACCTTTTTTTTATGCTGCTTTACATGTGACAGGAAACTAGACCACGTTTATATTTCTACTTCAACAATTACTTTGATAGAGACAACTAGAAGTTATCAAATCATATTTCAAGAAATTGATGATGCACAACAATAGACAAGCAAATTCCACAATTGAAGTTAAAGGTTCCATCTAAATACACAACTTCAACAGGTAGAATGCAGTTCAGAAAAGCTAAATTTATATAGGTGGATAATGAAATCGTAAGTTCAGAAGAAATGCTTAAGAACCTGATAAATGATCTATGTATGCAGCTTTCAAAGCATAAGGATGAAATCCAGGTCACCTCCTAATCGCAATTTGTTTGTTGGAAGCCTCAGCCTCATTTTCCTCTGGTGCTTCCAGAAGATGACCTGCCCACCCACGGTTCATAGCCAAGTCCTCCACTGCTACCTTGATCACATCACTTCGAACACCTATGTCAGTTGCATATCTACTCATGCAGTACATTCCAGCAGTGACTGTTGCTACACCAACGGGGCTTGGCATCAGCAACTTTAACGGTGAAGAGAGAAGGGCAGCCAAGGGGGCACCAATTACAGAAGAAGCTTGGCCACTTCTTCCAACCCCTTGCTTGTCCACTATTAGAAGACCAGTTTTGCAGTATAGAGCAAAATCCTCACAGTTGTTCTGAAATATGTCATAATTTCCAAATCCATTTTGAAGAAGATGCATAGCCCTGTGGATAACTGTCTCTGGCAGGTCAGATGCTGCAGTGGTGCATGTGCCTCCACGTACTTTGGCAAGGAAAACTGTTGGGCTCACCCCATATTCAAAGCAGTACAGGGATCCATTTCTAAGGAAGCAATCCAAGCATGAAAGCACTACTCCACTATCTGGCTTCTGGAATCCACAATCAGGAAAAGTTGGACAAGACAATTGGAGGCTTGATATTGAATTGTCTAGATCTGAAGATGACTCCATGCTAGAATCTAATTTTGTCTCTGGTTTGAAGTGAACTACCTTGCTTCCTCCAACATAGATACCTGTACGATTGAACATTCAACATGACCTTTGAATAAACTTTATCCAACTCCCAATCTCATCCATGTTTCAAAAGTAAAATGTATCACCATGCCATGACCTCCACAATGTTTGCACACTTATAGTCTAGAATACTTAAACACCATCAATTAGATGATAAAGTAGAAGTACAAAGAAATCAGATGACAAAAATAGAAATTTCAAGCAAAATCATGGCAAGATGACACTCAACAACTAGGCTTCCTATGCCTAGCGTTGAGGAAATCTAAATTATTGTCAAAAATCTTGACTTTATAAGGATTGGAAGAGAGGGGTTTAAGTTCCAAGGGATTGGAGGAACATTAAACCTGCCCCAAATTTTTCAATAAAAATAATGGGACTAGAACACAAAAGGTTTTCACTTCCAGAAAGTCTAGAAGAGAAGTGAGCCCATTAATACACACTATATTAAGGCAAACACACTGATCACTTTCTTAGAGAAGCAGATGAAAAGTTTTCATCTTTCTATTTCCTTACCCTATATCTTGGCAACCAAACGGACAATTACCATAAAATAAAAGCGAACCAACTTGGGTTTCGGTTGACTTATCAACAAAGGAAACTTACATTTAAAACATGACAAGCACAGAAAGAATTAACCAATCTGAAAACATCACAATTCGAATGACCCAGAAATAACAAAAGCACACAAAAACAGGACCTACGGGCAGAAAGCAAATTGAGACGAATCAATTATGTTAATAACAAGTAATTGGGTAGCAAAAACACAACCACAAAGGAGAATCAAACCTAGGAACAGGCATTGCAGAGTCCCGTGAAATCTAAAGAACAAGAACACAGGAAATTACAGGAAGCATTAGCAGATAAGCAAAAAGAGAAAGAGATACCATGGTGAGAGTAGGTGAAGGCAACTCTGTAGGTGTAAATATGATCTCCCGGCTTGATCTCATCCCTCTCTACTTTGTTCGTGAGCAGACCCATTTCCCTCCTCTCCCTCTCTCTCTGCTCCTCGGTCTTCTCCTCCGATAATGTAGCTCAGCTCTGCTCCGGTAAAGCAAATGCAAAACCCCACCTCAGATTAGACTGTGCTGATCTCAACGCGGTAAGATCTTAGTGGTTCACCGACTGATCGGCCGCTCTATTTATCTTTCTTTTCTTTTTCTGCATGTTTTCTTCTCATTTTCTCTGTTGACTTCTGTTCTGAGGGTAGAATTGGAATTCAGATCAACCAAAGTAAAGGACGTTTTGAGCAATGCTAGGGGCACTCGCCTCCTGCACTCTCCGGCCATCACTTCCTCTTTCATTGGGCCACGTTTTTTTGTTTTTTAAGAGGTTGCATTCAAAACCTTAAAAAAAAAAAACAAACTTACGTGGCCCAATGAAAGGGGAAGTGTTGGCCGGAGAGTGCAAGAGGCGAGTGCCCCTACCACTGTTCAAGGAGGTTTTGACAGCACAGCAACCGCATGGAGCGATGTGTTTTCGATGGAGAAACAGTAAAAGACAAAAGTTGGTTCGTTGCCCCTTTCATAAGTTATTCTCCGCTTACCAATTTGGTCCCTCAACTTTCAGATTTTACCAAAATTATCCCTCAACTTCAGAAAGTACTAAACTTGCCCCTAAACTTTAATATCTAGTACCAAAGTAGTTCTCAAACTTTGAAGATAATACTAATTTAGTCCTTAAACTTTGAAGACAAGAACCAATTTAGTTCTCAAACTTTGATTACAAATACCAATTTGGTTTTTTAATTTTGATTATATATATATTTTTTAGATAGAATGTAAAATTTTTATTTATTCAATCACTTAATGTACAAAGAACAGCAAAAATGCTATTACAGTTAATGAAAAACTATTATTTAAACTATACTTAAGCCTTCACAACAACCTAACCCCTTACTGTACTGCAATATGCATAGGTAGTACAAAAGATTTTGGTTTTGAAAAACTCAAAATCTTATTTTTTACATCATATTGAATATATCAAACAATCACCCATGTAGACTAAAATTTTTGCTTATGAATTCTGGTATTCCTTTCCTTCCAAACATGATATACTACTATAGTCTAAGCTAGTTTAATAAGAGTTCAGTGTAATGCCCTTCTTTTGATCCTTTTCCCTATCCAAGCCAACAACCCTTGCCAAGAATATAAGAGGGGAATATCTAATATATGACATAAAGTATTCCAAATTTGTTTTGTAAAACGACATTGGAAGAATAGATGTTCGTTGGTTTCTAAAGCAGAATTGCAAAAGATATGAGTGTCATCATTACCTGGAGTCTAGTGTTTTTGTCTACTTTTTGTTGTTTAAATGATCAAGTACTGCCAATCAGCTAATAAAGCTGTCTTGGGGACTGAACCAGAAAACAAAATCAATTTGTGCTAGGGAGCTTTGATCTGCTTTTTCCTTAACCAATTCCAAGTACTTTCATGTTCGAAAAGTGGTTGAAGAAGAGGGAGCCCAAATCACAGTATCCTTCTCTCCTTCCCTTGGATATAACTTGTCAAAAAGAGCCATTTGAATTTGCACAAGTTGTGGACAACATGCAGGGAGCCAATTCCAGAATTCACCACATAAGATACCTTAGCATTTAGAGAAATACTTGAATTCTATACAATTTTAGTGTCATATACTTCTATTAAGGGGCTACAAGGATGCCAATAGTCATGCCAAAGGTAGGTGTCCTTACCATTTCCAATTTTATGTCATATCAATCTTCTAGTTTGAGTTTTGAGATTGAGAAGCTTCCTCCATCCCCAAGAGGCATTTGTAGGAATATTCACAGTCTAAAAGTTGATATATAAATAAAAATATATCACGATAAAAAAATATGATTATTTAATTTTACACGTTATTAATATTTTTTAAAAAAATTGATTTTATGACAAAGTAATAAATTATATGACACTTCTATTAATAGAAAGATTTTTTTCATATTAAAAATTAAAATTTAAAGACAATCTTAATGCTTTTTAAAGTTAAAGAATAATTTTTAATATAAATTTATAAATTGAGGCAATAAATTAATATTTTAACCTTATTCTCCAAGGACAGTCATCGGCATTCTATTGATCTTTTCTTTTTCTTTTTTTAAACAAAAGGAAATATAGGTCATGGGGCAAATATATATGTATATATTTACATATAAAGTAAGAAAGTTGTATTCAATTTAGATAACATCACCAAAATTTATATAAGATTATTTGACCTTGATCTCTGAAGAGGCAATGCAGTTTTAAGGAGTTACTAAGTCCCGATGTATACACAATTATTATTATGTTTACACAATTATTATTATGTTTACACAATTATTACTTACAAGTTACAACGCATGGTTGTGCAAGAATCAAGCTATATTGGAATTAATTTCCACAAAAGATGGTCCAGTTGTACACTGCCACCTGGAATTCTGAATCTTTTTCTAACATGTTTCTTAATTCTTTGGCGCACTTGGCATCTTTGGCAAGTAAGAGAGCAAAGCCTCCACCGCCGGCTCCGACGAGCTTGTAGCCGGAGCAGTAAGGGGAAGCGGATTCAAAGAGCTTGTCGACAAACTGGTTGCTGCAGTGAGGGTCGAGTTCTTGATGCAGTCTCCAAGCTTCCAACATGATCTCCCCTAGTTCATCCACGTCACAGTTCATCAATGCTTCCCTACCGATCTTTGCCAGCTCGGCCAGCCGCTTGATGCTGGAGATGAGGAGGTTATCCCGCCGGAGATACCGGAGAACCACCTTTTGTAGTACTTGATGTGCAAGTCGAACCTGTGCAGTAAATTCAACAATCTTAGTTTAAAAGCTTGCTGGAAGTGGAACAACAAAAATGGAAGGCTAAAAGGAACTTACTTGACCAGTAAATACCACAAGCAATCGTTGCTGCAGCTCTGTAATCAACTGAGGCGATGTCAAAAGAGGAATGACTTGGAGCCGCAATGGTATTCCGGGATAACTTGCAGTGAATTTAATACCGGGGTATAAGCCTCCAATTTGATCTTGCCAGCCACCTCCTGTTCCCATGAGCTGCTCCAATACCAGAACAAGTCTGGCTACATTTTCATTGCTTTCATCTCCGTTAACAATCTGGAGAAGCCCTTTCACAACAGCAGCTGCTAGGATGCTGGAAGTCCCCAAGCCACTGCCTCGGGGTACTTTGGCCCATGTCTTTATTTGCAAGCCCGTACATACAAGAACCTTTTCATGCAAAATTCCGGTCACAAGCAATGCACATTTTACTAGCCTAAATGGATCATTAACATCAAAGGGAGCAGCAATAGAGGAAGGAACTTCAACGTGTAGCTCATTCCCGCAATCATCACTAATCAGTACTCCACTTGTTTTTGTTGTCTCTATGATGGTGCCAATTGGTAGAGAACCTTCCAAGCTTATTGCCATGTTTAAAACACACCCAGCACGCTCTAAGCTCCATGGAGGAGTATCACTCCAGCCACCAACAAAATCTACCCGGACTGGTAATTCAACTTTAACTCTTCTTGGGCAGAACGGGTGATCCACATTGCCATCAAGTTTATTGTTCTTAAAAGGTGAAGTAGGCTTGCTGGAGGAGTCCAAGAGATGTTCTACAAAATAAAAAGTAGGTTTAGTAAGCCAAGAAGAAAAGGCAGTGGAGCTTTAGAAATTGAATAAATTTGAATGTAAAAACAAAGTGTTAGAAGCACAATGAGGTAATACGAAGACAGAAATCTTTAAAGATGTGAGCAATCATTGAGTGATTTTTTAGAGTAACAGTTGTTAACTTAGAGATATTTGTAAATATACTCACTGAACCATACCTTTAAAGCCATACCTAACTGCAGATGCAGTTTCATCAGCAACTGCAGCCCAAACTTTGTGTTCTAACTTAGAAGCTTCTGTTTCATCTCTGCATGCTCGAAGAAGATCGACTTGTACCTGATATGCACGACTTTTGGGAAGAATCTTAGAGTTCTGCTCCATAAGTTTGGGACAAAGGTCAAGGAAGTCCTTACATGTTTCAACTCCTAAAAGTTCTTTCTGAAGAATCTCTTCACACAACTGAGACAAATTGCGTCCAAGCATACCATAATTAATGCAGGCTTTGGCAATTCCAGAAGCAAGATCTGATTGATGATTACTGGACCCAGTGCACATCTGTGTAAAGTCAATTGAACGATGCAACTCTTCCAAGCTGACGCGTTGTGAGCTTCTCCATAAGGGAAGAAAATATTTATTTTTTTGTTCACTCAAGCCCATCAACCACATTCCCACATTAAGCATTTCAAAATAAGAAAGGATGGGGAATAGCTTTGCATTCCATAAACATTTCTCCTGACTACTAGTTGAGGTCCACAGGTCACTCTCCTGAATATCTAGATCATGCATTACCTTCTCCCAGGGTTTCCCACAAAATGTCCCATCCCTAGTGATTGAATTTTTGGGATTATCATGGAGGCCACAAAAAACTAGCACTCTGTCAGAGCTTCCTACCAGTGGAACCTCCCAAAGGCAATGGCGGTCAGGAAGGATGAACTTAAATGAATTGTCTGCTGTACTATTATTGTCACCTGGAACATTAATACCAACAACAATAGATTGGGAACCAATCTGCATTCCCCCTGATATGTGTGAGTCATATATGAGAGAATCTTCACCAATTGAGACACCAGGTTCTATTTTGCTGGAAAGAACCACAGCAGATGCTGCAATGTCTGACACAGTGGTTGCAGGAATCGAACATAAGTGTCTTCGACCTACAAGTGCTGAATCAGCTCCGCTAAGGTGATCCAAAACTTCACTTGAGGTTCCAAAATGTAAAAACAGAAAATCATCTGCATTGAAATAATTGAGCAAGAACCACATAAATAAACAAAACCCCAAAGATGATAACAATGAAGAAAACGTTAGGTTTTTAATACTTAAAACGAAGTTTAACATACTGGCACAATAGCTGAACATTTTTTGTTTTCCCAATTTGCTGACCAGTGCTTCTCCCATTGGGCGCTGTCTTAACCAATCATGTTTACTAGGTACCCAAGCTGCCACTAGATCTTCATACAAACTCATCTGCATAAGGATGTATAATGAGATTAGAAACTGTCCACAGTTAATAGATTTCAGAACAGTATGTACCATCAATATAGATGCATAATTCCATGAAATTTCGTTTCTTTAAAAATGACTAGCAGTTTCAACCTAACACTGATCAGATTTCAACAATAATCACCACAAATGATAAGTTTCAAGCAAGGGAATAACAATGGTTGAAAAGTGAAAAAATCAGGGGGACTGAAGAAGGTTTCTTTGTTAATGTTTTTATAGAATATAGAAGAGGATAACAAGAGGTCTTAGAGAAAAGCACTAATCGTGAATATTTATCTAAATAGAAGGAAGAATTTATCAAAAGGCCATGTTTGAGGCAATTAAGCTGCAGAAACAAAGGTAAATTATGAGAATAATCAGCCTGCCTCTTTTGTGCTCTTTAGAAGCTCTGAAATCAATGGTGGGCAAGAACATGCAAGGGCAACAAGCTCAATCCAAGCTTTTCCCTTAGATGCTATTATTCCTGTGTCAAGTAGTGCTCTACCGTCATCTAGTATAGCATGACTCTTAGCAAGATCTTCCACACAAGGTTTCTGTAGGAGATTGTCAACTAAACTAAGCATATAACTTTCTTCTTGGATTCCAGTCTTGGATGCCACAACAACACCATGATTAGCAGCAATATCAAGTGTGATGGGCACAGTGACTATGCAGGATGCATCCTGGGGGAGAATCAATGTCGAGGCATCAAAACATGGAAGAACATCACCGGTCATGATGAATATTCCACCTACACAATACAAGTTCTGTATATGAGCATAGGGAGGAAAAAAAAAAGCAACTACTCTAACAATTTAATCAACAACCCAGAGCTCAGATGAGCAAAATTACAGGATAAAGGAAGCTAAAGTGATGCTATCTAACAACTTAGTATCATGTAGTTGGGTGATCTATCCCTCAGCTTTCTGAGGACAACTGAAACAGCAAAGGTGTGCATGCCAACTTAAGGAAACATACAATAAATGCCAGATATTAAAGGGATCCATATTCAATAAATTCAGTTGACTACCTGATGTTCATGTTGGCTACATTCATCAGCCTACTAACCCAATCTTCTACCCACTTAGCCTCCCAACCCTGCCCACCCACAGAAATAAACTGGAATCCTATATAATCTTCAATTTAGCTAACATGTGAGATACTTAGTAAAACACCCACCCAAGTACCGCCACAACTGAAAAGCAAAAGGTCAAATAAGTGGGAACAAAAAGTCATGGAGCATATTAGAAATGAACAAAATGCAAATCACACTAAACAAACAAAAAACATGGTAAGATACCTTCATTCTTGAATGCCTGTCGGGCACATGAAGCAACAGCAAGTATATGATCAAAGAGCAGTGGGACTGGCCCATCAGGATCATCTCCAGCCAAAAATGGAAGTGGCAAGAAAACTTTCCCCATAGGATTTGCCCACGGGACCCTTTTAGAGTCGCCTCCTGCATGAAGCAATAATATATGCCTCTTGGTCATGAATCTAACCATTTGCACCTCAGAAACCTGATCCTTGGACATTCCATGCTCGATGGAAGATCCAGAACTGCTACCATTTTCAATCACCACCTGTTGATCATTTCTATCCCATCAAGATGAGTAATTCAACAGTTGAGTTGACCAACTGCACGGCAACACAGATTACAAACAATGCACAAGTGCTACTGCAAGAAGGGCAACTGCCAAAGCCAATAGTCACCTAAGTGCTAACAGAATGAAGGAAAGGAAGGGAAGAGAAAGATTAAACAAAGCAACTAATGAATAACATTATATCACAGTTCAAAAACTTTCCAGTTTCTGAAATTTCCATCATCAAGGAAACTGTACTTTCAAATTATGACAAGGTCCAAATTATGAACATACTAAATGTTAGATGGTGCTCCCATAAATCAAAAGGCTGCATATTGCTTATGCAAGAAGGCATCAATTGAACCAGAAATCATTCTTCTTTACTAGAAAGATTTCAACAGAACCTATGATTTTCCTTTTTCATTTTGTATAAACAGCATTGAGACACGTGTCGATAATTCTAATTAAAAATGTGATCTTGATTTAATGACTGAATTATTACCTCAGACCCAGGATCCATGCCAAGCTTCTCGTAATGCCTGGCGAGCGCATGAATGGCATTGAGCGTGGCAGCTCCGGAGCCGATCCGTTGTCCATCTGGGTCTGGCACTGCAATAGTGACGGTGGAGGCCGCGATTCGGCCCATCCGCTTGGCTCGCTTGAGCTGCCACTCGTAAAGCTGCGCTTGCTCAGGGCTAGCCGCTGTTAACACAATGGCATCCCAGGTGGGAACCCTAGCGGAATGCCTCACTGACAACCTCAGATGGTACCATGACTTCCGCAGAATTGAGGCTAAGTCTGGTCTCTGTTTGGTTCTCGATACCCTTCTTTCTCTTCTGGACTCCATGTCGTCGGAGCTCCGTCGGAATGTCGGGAAATTGAGGACTGGCGAGTGGAGTTCGTAGACTTTTGACTGTTATAGCAGAGACTCCTGAACCGAGGAGATGATAGAGGAATTTAATTATGGGAACTGTCCACGTAAGGAAATTGTCTATCTTCCTTTTTTTTTTTTTTTTTTTAGTTTAAACCCCCCATTTTGGTCCATCAACTATTGTACAAACCGCTGATTTAGTTCTTCAACTTAAAAAATCCCTGATTTGTTCCTTACTATTTACCATTTTGACCCCGAGTTAGCCCTTCCATTAAATTTTTGGTGAGATGGCCTATTAACTGAGAGAATGAAAGTGACATGTCCAAATATTTAATACATAAACTGACAACAAGGATAAATAAATGATGTGGCTAAAAACCCGACCACCTAATCAAACAAATATAATTATTCAATCCATCAAATTTACAATTTTACCCTCATCTTCTTCCTCAGCATCCTCC